TGGGGGTAAGGGGGGGGGGGAATTGATTAGGGCGTTATTGGATTCGTGCGATTGCACGTGCATGCGCTTAAAGGCGATTCAAAATTACCAATAAGAGATATAGTTTTTTTTATGAAAAAATGTACCACACGTAGTTTTAATTGGGGACGCGGACGAGGTTTTAGGGTTGAGAAGCAAAGCAACCTTTGGTTGATATTGTCGGACCATATATCGTTTCACATAATTTATGTGATTATGCATATAATATTAAGATATATATGGACGTATGTATGTATGTGTGTAAGGATTCAGCGATTGAAAAGACATATTGGGTCATTGATTGCGTCATACGGTCATGGAACGTGATTAGGCGCTGCACCTCTCCTCTCGAATAATTATTATATAAAAGTCCCATCACCGAGAAAAAAAAATACCAAAATATATTTTAGCCTTGGTAGAAATATATATATATTCTGTGATACGAAGTACAAAAGATCCCTAGCAAAATAATTGGCCCGTCTTGTGTGTGCGCACATGATCTTTATCTTTGTTCTAATAAATTAAGTAGATGCATTGAAATTCAATATTACAAGGATAATTTTTGACAAAAAAAAATATTACAAGGATAAGTGATTTTTTTTCGAAATAAACTATGATCACTTTTTTTTTATTAATGCTCTCGATTCAATACGAAATAAATCATCAAATTATTCATATCCTACAAAAGTATTTATTTTATCATCGAATATATATATATAGTAATATATATGTTGTATGTGTATGTATATGCCCTTTAAAAGATAGAGATAGGGTAATCAGAATATAGGATATATAAAAATAAGAATACGCATAAATTATGTAATGGGATCCATGCCCCTACGAGTGCACAAAAGACTACTATATATATATATATATATATATATATATATATATATATATATTAACCACATAATTATATAATTAATTAGAAGCTGGCCTCAAGGATTATATTATTATTAATATCATATTTCACACATAGATATATACACATGTACGTCTATGTGTGTGTAACGTGATCGCTACGGAGGGAGAAGCAGATCAGATCCTACTTATCCACTTAGGTGTAAAGTTGCCATGCTTTCAATAGATTTACAACGAGACGAAGAAACCAAGATTTATATTAATTACCCAAACGGTTGGTGGTCCATTGGTTGAGAAGTGACAAAGTCATCCTCGAAGTTATGAGTTCGATTTTACTGGTGGGGAGGGATGTAATTTCTGAATCAAAATGATCCATATACAAAAGCTGGTCTCAGGCCGAAGGTTCGGAAACCATCCTGGTTATAAAAAAAAAAGATTGATTTTAATTATTAATTAAAAAGAATTATTAATTGTTACACAATACACACTAGAAGATTTTTTTAGTAAGTTATTATTGGGAAAATTTTAGTCGCCTAATCGTCTTTTTATTTACATGGATCAGCAGTGGGAAAAAAACATATAACTTGAAATATATGAAAGCTTTCTTTTTTATTAGTGAAAATTTATACATCTCTTACTTATTCAGAGAATATCAACTAAATCTCAATATGAATGTTATTAAATGCTTTTTTATTGATTATCAAATGAATTTCAAATATTTAATTTTTTTGTAATATATTAACATGAAAATAAAATTCAAAAAAAGATGTGAAAATATATGTATTTTTTAGATTTATTTTTTTATAAATAAATATTTAAGATTCTAATTAAAAGTTAGACAGGTTCTGTCAGAATGATTTAATAAATATATATTTAAAGAATATTTGATTCTTCCATAAATATTCCAAAGATATTTCAAATCATGGTAAAAATAATTAAATCCAACCTGAAACCTCGATATATAAATATTAAGAATACCATAAATAAAAAAATATAGATATATAGTGGGATTCCATGTGTCTAGCATGGAAAATATACATTTACCCTTTGGAATAAAATAACAGCGATTGATTATTCAGATACGCAATACGCAAAAAGAGACGCTAATTTGCTTTTATTTTCTTTGTATTTTTTTTTTCCTTTTGACAAATAAAAAATGCCCTCGTTTCCTTTGTACGTGTCTTGCTGAGGGCAACAGTAAAGCAAGAAAATGGGAGAGAATGTTAACAGTACAACTCTCTTCTTCCTTCTTTTGGAAAAATAAATCGTTAGGTTCTTGTGTCATATATATATATATATATATATATATATATATATATATTAAAAAAGAGTTTTGTTTTGTAGGAACAAAAAAGGGAAAGAAACTAAAGTACCAAAGTGGAGAGGTCTTTGCACCATATCCCAAATGAACTTTGAAAGTTTGAAACTTTCATCATTTGAGATTTATTTAAATATTAATTAGCTAACTGTATTGAGGAAAAATACGATTTTTTTTATTAAAAATATTTCCCTATCTATAGATTATTTCAGATATCTTGAAGATGATATATAATTTTCTTCGTGTTAGCTTAGCTTTTTTTTAAAAAAAATAAAAAGAGAAGCTTTGTAAAAATTTATAGAAAGGTGGTATTCAAACTTCATTGAATAGGGAAGAAGATCAAGGCCCAACAATTTGAGCATTTTAATTTGGGCTTTATAAATTGGGCCTTATTTAAAAACTAGATTATTTTCCACGTGTAAAAACTAGATTACGATATTATGTTTCCTATCGATTTTTTTTTTTTTGAAGTCAATGTGTATGTATTGATCATGACCGGTACACTCCAACCGTCGAGGAATACTAATAAACCGGTAAATGTTTAAAAAAGAATAAAGAAAGGACCGACCCGATGACAAATTCCTTCTTCTTTTGGAAAAAGTAAACCCAAGGAAGGAATATTCATAGGATTGCTCCCATAATTTCCTTTATTTGATAATAATATATATTTATTTAAAGACCTTATGCTGCCCAAGAAAATATTTTAAAAAAAAAATCAAGATCTCTATCCATCTAATCAATCAATCAAATATGCAGTAGATGGTATCAAGAAACCGACAGAGCCCACGTTCTCCTGAAAATACCGACCCACCATTCTAATAACCAATAACTACTTATTTAAATAATAAATTTATTGGGAATGTTTGAATTAAAAAAAAAACAGGGGAAAATGCGCCGAACAAACTCAAGCCTTATCCAAAATCTCACACCGAAAACACTATAAAAGCCTCTTTCAACTCAAACTCTTTGGTATCAAACCGGTGAGAAAGAGGGAGAGAGATGGCTGACATCGCGATCTTGGTGGCGGAGGAGTACGAGAAGAGAGAGAAGAAGACGGCGGAGGAGAAGGCTTCGCCGGTGATGGTTCACCTCAGAGATTTACCGGCGACGGCGAAGAAGAAGATGATTGAGAGTTTCGAGAAGAAATTCGAGGCCAAGTCACAGTTTGCCCTCGCCGCCTCCTCTTGCTCCTTCTCCGCTTGATTTCACGTGCTTCTTCTTGCTTATTTTCCAATTCCATTTTCTTCTGACATGTAAATATGTTGATTAATTTCTGAATCGAAATCAAATGTAATCCTCTTCACCGTTAGAATTTGAATTATATATAAAAAAAAATAATACAATCTCCATTTGTCTTGATCTCTAGCGTGTCTTTTTGTAAGTAATCTAGCTTGTGTCCTTTTTTATATATATATAAAAAAAAAGGCAAGGAGATGACAAAACCATGGGCTTGGATTTCAAAAACTAATCCGACCAAACATTAGGGCTTCTTTTTCTTAATATTGGGCCAATAGGCCCATCGGGATTGGACCTAAAATGGGCCAATCCAATAGATAAGATGGACTTTCCACACAGCTTGGCTCAGGGACAAAAACAGACCGAACCAGTTCACAGGAAGACATTATTACATCTTCCATGTCTGCAAAAACTTTGGTACAAATAGATTTTTGGGTAGGCCAAGGGGTCCACCGTTCTACAGCTTTGAGCCATTCATGAAACCGATGCGACCCAATCCATGAACCATACAAGCACATTTCGGAACATAAGAGATGTCATGACTAACTAACTAGCTAGCTATATATATATATATAGCTATAGCTAACTAATCAACAAGATTTTCCACTATTTCTAGGTCTTTTCTAAGAATGGTGTGGCTGTCCATAATACATCATTCCCGGTGGCTGCAGCGGCTGAAAAGTGGGACCCTGTTGGGATTTCTGAGGTGGGTTCGCCGGCAAAGTCACCGGTTGGGGCATTTGCAGCGGCGGTGGTGGAGGTGGAGGCGGCGGCTGATTACCGGAGCCCACCTGACCACCCATCAGATGAGGTGGAGGCGGAGGAGGTGGTGCTGGCGTCATCAATGGAATGTTGCCGAAACTATAAGGGCTAATTCCTGGCGGTTGAAGGAATTGTTGCGTCGGCGGATTGGGGATAGCATGATACTGAACTTGAGAAGTCGGTGTCTGGTTCTGGTTATGGTTCTGGGTCTGGACAGTGGACTGAGGTAACATAGTCGAGTTGCTGTAAGAAGGGTTTGGAGGACCAAATGCATTAGTGTCCGAAACCGGAACTGAGCTCTCTGGTTTGGACAGACCGGCAGTTTTCGTAGCTTCAGCTGCCAATGAAGATAGAACAGACTGCATAATCATATGTGACGAGGCACATGATGATAGCTTATCAGCTACCATCGCAGCAAGAGAGGTGGCCATGGCTTTAGGAGCTTGATCACCAGTTGTGTTAGTGGTGGTGGTCGTATTGTCAACAACTGAGGCAGTGGTTATTGGTTTGGATACATAATCCTCATCGTTGAGCCGTTTCTGCATGTCCTGGGCTTCTTCTGCTTGTTCTTGCGCTGCCTGATAAATAAACGAGAGATATCAAGAAATATCGGGCACATATATTACCTCTACGACAAGAGTTAGAGAAATGCTTCACAGCAGAAATACCCGTATTTGACTTTGAAGGTTCTCCAGTTCAGATTCCTGACATAGATTTTCAGACAATAAGCAAAGTGCATGATGTAAGATATTCAACTTTGAGTGCAAAAAATAATTACCTGTTCGTGTAGAGCTTTTCTCAACCGGTCTACAAGCGCCACCTGACTTCCTTCAACTGATTGAAGTTTCTCGATACATTGTTTCAAAATGTTCTCTTCCTCTTCTAGTTCTTTGGCCAATTCTTTTCTTCTCGGATCTTTTGCTGAAGGAGATTAAAGATTTACAAGATTAGAGAACCAGTAGAGCATATGATGGAAAATGAGAGAGTGTAGACTGATAATCTGAGAGAACAAATCTGATTGTATGCAGCAGCTTACCCGTGGAGCAAGCGTCTTCAACATCCTTTTCCATGTTTCTGATATGTTTAATAGCAGACTTACATTTCTTCATCTCACCATCTTCATTTGAGTGTTCACTCAGGACCAAATGATATGCTGATGCTATCTTCTCGGCCATACCTCCGCTTGACAACTTCTGGTTACAGCAGAGATAAATGAATCGTAAAAGCTCACGTTACAGAAAACCCGAATGATAAGTCTGATGAACTTCACCGAAATACTGTAATTTCCGCTGAAATCAACTACAGAAATTTTTTTATAAAAAAAAAAAGAACAAAATTCGAGAGAGAGTAGGAGATATTGGTATTACTGCTCTAGACACTTTTGAATCCCGTTTTGCAGATTTGGATCCCCGCAGTCGCTTTTTGCTGACATCAAGAGATGGAGGCGCTTCATCTGCAAGCATTACATCTCTGAGGCTCTTTGAACGGGACCCAAAGACTCTCCTTTCTTCCCATATACCGACCTAACAGTCACGGGACGGGAGGAGAAGATCCATAAGCAATCAACTTTCATCCAGTGTCAACTTAATCTTAAAGCAGCTACAGAATTTCACAGGCTCAATGCTATCTCTGCAGTACCAAATGATACTAATACTAGAAACTAATACAGACATCAAAACATGAAATCGGCACATCAATGACTGAGCTCAAAAGAATGGAATAGTCTTGAGCAAATAACTACCTGGTAAGATTCAAGAAAAAAGGTTTATACTACAGACGATCATAATATTCAGTGCAATGGAATCTGAAGATGAAAAGTTACACCAGCTTGTAAACTATGATGAATTCCTTCCAACAGAAAAAAGCACTTGCACCCAAAAAACTTACTTATCCAATCCACAAAGACATTTTCTTTCTCCATCTAATGATCTATTCAAACACAAATCCACACCCAAATGGAAATGCTGGGTCAAACCCTAAGCTGTTACACACATATACAGCTCCTTTTCATCCAAGTAATTAGCCATCATCAAGAACACAAACCCCCAAAAAAAGGAAGTTCCTTTCTCCTTACCAAACGCGAGACAACGCCTTTTCCGCGCTCATCTCCCTTGGAAGCTATATCCTTGAGAGCACCCGGAAGAACCTTCCAGAATTCGGACACGAACTCGTTGCCCTGACGCTTGCTGTTCTGAAGAATGTCGTTGGCAAGGTACAAGAGAGGCACTTTCTGTGCCATCTCTCTACTTTGGAACTGTTTCTTCCATGTCGCCACCACCAATTCCGCATTGCTCCGATGGAATATACACCAATGTGACAAAGCTTATCCAAAAGGGTCAAGGACCAAACCTCAGAACAAGAAGCAAAATTACAACGACCGATTAAACCAAAAGGTGAATATAGGCAATCAAAGAGGTTTACTTTCGATTGATTGCTGAGTGCTGTTGAGCTTGGCGAGCTTATCAGTCAGGATCTGTTCACTGAACGCGCTACTCATCCCAGCCAAAAACTGTCGACAACTCCGGAAAACCACCAAAACAAAACCCTAGAAGTAGCTATCCTAGGGAAGGAGAAGCTAAAACCCTAAGAAATTTACACGATAGGAGCTGGGAAGGAGCAGGAAGCGCCGTCGTATTGGCAATCGAGGAGAATGCGCCGGGGTAGGAGGAATTGCGCGGCAGAGCGACGGCGGAGCATGCCCTAGGAGAGGAAGACGGAGCCGAGAGAAGAGGATGAGAGACACGAAACGACGACGTTTGCTGCAGATCGAGCCCTGAGAGAGAGGGGGAGAGAGACAGAGAGAGAGATTGGGGAGGGAGAAAGATTCGCAGGGAGGGAGAGAAGGTATTGTTTTAGATTGGATGTTAGAACATCATTTGGTAAACGGTGATTAGCTTTACGTCTATGGCCAAAAAAGGTTAAATTTTATCGTTATGTTCAACACGAAAACGCATTTCCAGAAATGCCCTTCATTTAACTGATACCAAAGTTAACTTTCCTTTCAACAATTTAAATTCGAAAAATGTTGAATTCGGAAATATCCATTTTATGTAATCCTTTTAGATTTGAATGGTTGAGGTAAATTAAAAAAAATTGAACTTAGTTTTCCTAAAAAAGACAGGATACTATTTTGTGGAAAAAATCAAGTAAAAGTTACAAATTTTTTATTCTATTAAATTATTTTTTTTTTAAGTTGTAGCAAAAAATCTCCTTTAAATTTTGTGTGCGCCATTTCCAAGCCTTTGGTCGTTTAATTGACCGAAAATAAAGCTATAATATTCGGCCCAGTAAGTCCAATTTTTATTGGGCTTTTATGTGTTGGAGGCCCAAACTTGACGGGCTTAAAGACTACTTGTGGACTCACCAACTTTCCTATTCAAATAATAATAATAATAATAATAATAATAATAATAATTTGCTATGAAGTTGTTAAACCCGTATTCAATCTCTTAACGCGGTCATTTATTTATCCCAAACATTAACCGAATAGATTTCTACAGAGAAAATTTTAGTTCTACAACAAAAATTGTGAGAAATCGAAACCCAATATCATTACAAAAAAAAAGGAACGAAGTTGTGTGGGATATGAAATGGACCGACCGTGGATCATGTGGATGAGTCACCATTGCATCATATTATAATTATATATCATCTCAACATGTATAGGAAAAAAAAAAAGCTCACGAGTCATTCCCAAACAAAAAATAATCATTTAGAATCATTAGTGACGTAACGCAACATGGAGGATAAAAAAAAATCAATTTAATTTTGGTGTCTTTTTTGTTCGCTCTTGTCTCGATTGTGCATATGATATATTATGTTTTCTAAAAGAAATCTCAATTGCCAGAATCTGTATCATCCTGTATAGGATATGATATCACAGACAAAAAAATCATACACACACTGGATTCGATCTTTAGTTTGGTTTTCATGGGAGACAAATCTATTAAGATGCCACTAACAATAAAAATCATAGAAATTTTAAAAATGAAAAAAAAAAAGTCTAAAATTAAAACCCATTCACATGCAAAGCAATCACAGTTTTTTTCCGCGTTTGGAACGCGAGAATCTAATGAATGAGCCCTTTTAAGATATTTTCAACCGATATTTATTTAATTTATTATTATTATATTTATTGTTGTTGTTATCTTAATTGCAAAATGAATACATTTGGAACAAGGATATTGTGATTTGGGATATTTGAAAATTGGGGATGGGATAAATGTATAACTAAAAAAAATACTATATATATGGCATAAATATATGAAATAATCTTTGGTAGATATTTAGAAAGAGATGGCGTGATATTTAGAAAAATGTGTTACAATTAATTGGCATCATGCATGATGATCAAACTTTCGCGTGGCACGACTCCACTATTAAATATGTGAGAAGCTCTCACTAGATGATCTCTCAATTCAAATTTTGATATATATATATATATATATATA